CGGAGAGAGAGGAAGCAGGAGGGAGGAGCAGAGAATCCAAATTCGAAGGCGAGGTCTTGGAACCACGTGGAGAGACGGGCCGGACCTAAGATATGACTAAAAGCAAGTATAATGGGTAAAATCTGAAACTATGTGGGCTTGGAGGTTTAGGATGGAATAACCATTGTCCAGAATTGTTCTCTGGGTTAATTAAATAAATCCCAGTCTCTGTGTGGTGATTTGGGTATACAGCTGGTTTAGGACTAACTGCTGCTTAACTAAAAGATATATCAATAGTAAATATTAATACCTACAACAGAGGTCCCATTAGGCAACATAGTAACACCTTCCATCTCAAAAACAATTAAAAAGTAAAAAAAAAAAAGCAAATAATGGCTGCAATACGCTTCCTTTTCCTTTTCAACTCAAACAAGCAAACTACTCCATTAATGACATTACACTGAACTGGAGGAAGTTACAACCCAGAGACTGGCTAACCCAATCCCAAAGGGGAGTCTCAAACCAGAACCCCATTTTATTTTATTCTGTTTTGTTTGGTTTTCGAGACAGGAGTTTCTCTGTGTAGCCTTGGCTGCCCTGGACTCACTATGTAGACCAGGCTGGCCTCGAACTCACAGAGATCCCTTAGTGCTTGGATTAAAGGTCTGCGCCACCAGCCCCATTTTTTTTATAGATGAGTATTATGAAATACATTTTACTTGGAGAGCAGAATGCTTGCTATCAGCTTGCTTGGTGAATGTACCAGAAAACTGGAAGGTTGGGGGTGGGGGAGAGTGGAGAGAGTCCGTTGGGAGGACTTGCCATGCTAGCAAAAGAACCTGAGTTTGACAGCAATCCACGTAAAAAGCACAGAATGGCGGCATGCATCTGTAATTTCAGGCCTAGGGACAGGTGGATTCCACGAGGCTCACTGGCTGGCTGACCTAGCCTAACCGGCAAGTTCACAGTGACAGACCCTGTCTCAAAAACAAGGTGGACATCTCCTGAGGAATAATGCCTGAGACCGACACCCAGCCTCGTGCACACGTACACACACCTGTACAGACATGTACTCACACACACAAACATATGCACAATGCATAGGTACATATGAAGCAGTTAACCTGAATCATGCTTATTACTACATGCTACGTAGGCAGTGTTATTTCCTTCAAATAACACTAGCAGATCACAGAGCAAACCCACCATGCAAAGAACGACAACTCGGTATGACAGGCCTTCCCAAAAAGCGAACCTTCAAAAGGAACAAAATCCAAGCCAGTGCTCAACCCAGGATCCCCCTATGTTTCAAGACACTAAATCAGTTCTCTACTTTGAAAATCACTGCGAAGCCGTCACTTCCTGGCCCAAAGAACAAACTGCCTGTACGGACCCGTCGGCAGGAAGCTTACAGGGCCTCTTCTGTGGAGACTTGCCATGCTGGTGGGTAGTTTTAGCATGCTGGTGAACCATGCTGGCGGGTAGGTCCAGCCCTTCTCTGGTGTCAGTCTCCTTTGGGTCTTCCCTGTGTTTGTCCCCATGGTGGAAATCAGGCTCAACCACACAGTAACCTCCCATGAAGTTTGACTGACATCGCTTCTTTCACCCATACATGTCCTACCTTACAGAAGACAAGTCCCTCAGCCTGTGACGACTACATTCATACAATGGCCTCTTACCACCACCACCCCCCCCAATCTCACTCAAGGGAACCAGCACTGAGCTTATTTTGTTTGGTTTTGGGACAGGGCCTAGCTACGTACTCCAGGATGCCTTCAAAACTGGGCATTCAAATGCCTCGGTCTCCTACGTGCTGGTTTTACAGGGGTGGGACACCGTGTCTGGCTTTTATTACTGTTCTTTGTTTGACTGATGGCAATGGAGCTCATACTCCATTTCCAGGATGCCAGGCAACACTCTACTAACTGAGCTATATACAGTTTGATTTTAAATAGAATTGTGGGTACAGAGATAAATTTGGGCACATTTACAAGAACCTTGGGACACAGGGATGAATGTGAGGAACCGCAGAAAGGCAGGGCCTGCTGCACACTGCCCTAATTCTCTCCGAAGCCCTTAGCCTTGGCCTCACACATCCTGACACTCTGGGTAGGCCCTCAACATAATGACTGCACATCTTCTTGGCAACAGCAATTAACTCAAAGCTGGTGTTAAGTTAAAAGCATGCTGAGGTCAACTACAGCTGGGGAATCTCAGCACCTCTGAGGTTCAACACTCTTCTCCAGGAGATGGCTGGGGGAGGGTGACTCAAGATCAAAGCTTCCCTTAACAGGAACGGAGCAGGTAAAGAAAAGTTGAGAAACTTCTTCACTTAAAAGAGTGGGTTTCTGTCGGGAATAACACGTTACATAATTTGACTTTCATGAATCAGCAGTTTAGACGGTAATTTACATGAAGTTTTAAAAGAGAGAACACAGAAGATTGAAAAGGGTAATGGTGGTTTTTTACAACAAGGCAGGTTTGAAAAGCGTTTTATTCCACCCCCACACAGAGGGCTGAGAGGCAACTGACTCAGATAGGCTTCATTAAGATTTTCTTTCTACCTAATGTCCCCAGAGGGAAAGGCCAATGGCCCCTCTCAAGTCATCTACCAAGGGCCATACTTACCTCTGTAACGGAAGGTAATCCATCTGGGGACGGCATACTTTATAGGCCGCAAAGGGCCATGCTCATAGGATAAAAATAAATGAAAAATTTTTTATTTCTATTTTAGATTATTTTAGAATTTTTTTGTTTTTAGAATACAAAAAAAAAAAAAAAGATTTGCTTTTTTAGAAGACACTTTAAACTCTCAAACAGTGAGCTCCAAAAAAATATATCAGCCTGTCAGACCCTTCAGAAGGAAAATGAGAAATACCTTTGGTTGTACTTGAACTCCTTCATGAATCCAAGGGGCTTATAGACAGATTAAGAGAGCTATCAGCACAAGCACTAAAACCATTTGTCTGACCTAAACCTCAAACCAGAAGGAGAAAGAAGGAAAATAATTTAAAAAGTCGGATGTTTGACAGAAGGAAAAAAGGAAAGCAACCACTAAGCTATCCTCTTCTCCAAAAACTAGAGATGATAAATCCTGAGTCCAGAGGGTATCTTTGTCCCTTTTATTGGTAAGATACTGTATCGGATACTGTTTGAAATAAGAGAGCCATTGGATTAGGCCTCTCTTCAGCACAAATCAATTACAGTGGTATTCTGGGAGGCGTGTTTTGAAAGAGCTAGCTATCTGAAGTCACTCATTCCACAAATACTTACTACAGGCCTGCACGTGCCAGGCTCGGTCCCTTCCTACACCTACTCCGCTTGTGCTCGCCTCCCATCAGCTCTGCAAACAGGGCCTAGGCCAATCGGCAACTTTCTGCTTTGGTCTTTCATACAAAAGGGAGATTTCTAAGATGGCTACTGACCTCTCACCTCAACTCACCTCCCACCTCTCTCTAGGAAGACAAATGCAATCGTTAGATGTTTGGCTCAATTTAAGCCACGAGCACCAACGTCTGTGATGCCTACCAGAAGTTACATTAGAGGAGACACGGTGTGTGATTAAAAATAAATTTTTTTTTATATTACATGTATAATCAACCACAGTGACAAAAATTGTGTCGATATTACTTATTTTCCATTCTAGGTCCTCACCCTCTAGGCACCAGGCCCAAAACTCATTTGAAAAGATCACTTTATTTGGAGGAAAAAATACACTTTACATAAGCTGCAACTTACAAAATGGATCCTTTACGGGGCACCTTCACCAACTCAGCGTTACCAACAACGAGCCGCAGAAAACTACCAAACACGTTGGTGTTAACGTGTACAAACAGAAACGCTCTGTTTCACAGTTCAAGTTTAATCTGTTGCTCCCATCTAAGCCACGTCATATGAGTTGTAAAACAGATCTGAAACAAAGCTCCTTTTAAAAACAAAACTAAGCTCAGCACGGTGGCAGTTCAGAGAAGGGGAACTTCTGATGTCTGAGTTGTCAGGCTTGGCCGGAGGACTGTGGTGAGTGAGAGCAACCATCCTTCTAAAGCTATGTCTGAGATCTGGCCGGAGACCAGCTAGCAACAGGTCCCATTTCTCCACGCCCGCATCCCACAGGGAATGAAGGGTAATAACTTGTCTTAGGGGAGTGGTAGCCTAGGGGAGCAGAAGGCACACCCATTCCCTAAAATGTCTGAAACTTCCTCTAATCTTTCCAGTTCTTCCTTTGACATTCAGGGAACTCGAGCATGCCTGGCCCCTCCACCGTGACAACCACTAAGATTTAATATTTTGAGTTAAGAGTCTGAGGTACTACTTATGAAGCACTTAGGACACAGCCCAGTTCATAGTAAGAGCTGTGTTTTGTAAATAAAGCAGGCACTTTCCAGGCCTGTTGGGCAAACACTCAGTCTAGAGAGGAGGGAAAGAATCCAAACACCTAACAGGCGGTCTGGGGGTGTTGTTTGGTTTTGTTTCACCCTGACAAAAGGTCCTGCCTCTCAAGCGCACCCCGCATAGTCTCTGCCTGCAGAACCGCAGTTCAGCCAGCTGTTCGGCATTCTGTGCAAAATTAAGTCAAAGACTTTTGTTTCGAGGGCCGGTTCCCTCCTCTTTTCCATCGCTAAGAAGGACGAGCACCGCAAACCACAGAGCGCTTTCTTTTAGGTGCCACACGTCGGTGGCTTAAACCGTGAGAACGGACGGGAAGAACAGAGCGAAGGGTTCGAATCCCGAGAACTTCCGAGAAGAGGGGGCGACGCGTTCCCGTCCCGCCGGCTCCCGGGCCGCCGCCGCCGCCCACGCGGGACCGCGCAGGTCACCCACACCCCACTTCAGGTGGGCTCCCCACTCTTCCCCGCCCGCCGCCCGGCCCGAGCTTGGAGGGTGTGTGGGGGGAACCCGCGCGCCGGGGCTGCACGCCGCGGGGGGACGGGGGAGACGGGACACAAAGACCGCGCGTGCGCCCGGCCCGCGCCGGGGCGAGCCCGACCGGAACCCCGCCGAGCCCCCCGCCCCGCACCTACCCGGCTGCGCGGCGTCCCGGCGGCCGGGCGCGGAGCCCAGCGCGCTGGCGGTTCCTCCTTCCCGGCGGCGCGGCCGGGGCGCCGGCGTTTCCTCCCTGACGCGTCACGGCGGCTCCTCCCGCGGGAGCGCGGGGCGGGCGGGCTCGGCCCGGGGGACCCGCGCGGGTGGCGGAGCCGCTCGGCGGCCCGTGCTCGTCACGCGGGGGGCAAAGTTCAGGAGGAGACGCCGGGCCCCCGCGCTCAGCTGACGGGATGCTCGAGGGCCGCGGCGGGGTTGACCTTGGCCCACTGCGGAGCCCGGGGGGTGGCGAGGAGGGCTGGGGCGGGGGGTGCGCGCTTGCTGCAAGCTGGACGCTGCAGGAGCCGGGGGAGCGTCCGAGCCACCTGGGCAGCCCCTGTGTTTCCGCCCAGCGTTATTCAGGCCGTTTTTTCTACACCTTCCCCACGTCGGCAGACTTTTGACCAGTGTCACAAATGGGCAGATCCTGTGTACGGAGGAACTTTGCCTTTCTCTGCATCGTTTTAGACCTATGGATTTATTTTTAAACTGTCCAGCGGACTCCACTGCTAATGATTACCTTTGTAACTCCAGAAGCTGCTTTGTTGTTGTTGTTGTTGTTTTTTAAAGCCTATTCTATGAATGGGGAGCTAAGAATTAAACGATTCAGTGCTGTGCAGTGCAGTTAAGGTTTTGAATCATAGAGCCCACACCATGCCTGTAATTTAGGTTTTCTCTGATACCGTGCCAGGGTGGACCCGAGCAACTGTTTAAAGATTTTCGTCTGCGTGGCCTGCTTCACATTTTTGCAGCACTAGTCTATACTGTGAATCTGTGATTTCAGAAAATTTGCCACGAATCTGTGAGCAAATAATTAGAGGAACTGAAATCCATGGGTGACTTCCGTAGATTCGAAGAGCAATTCCTTGTATTTCAAAGTGATAGTCAAAGATTTAGCCTCATGAGTGAAGGTAAGAAAAATGACTGGCTGCGATGTGGCCTTTCTTAAAATGGGTTGGGTGAATCCAGATTCTTTCACACTTTGAAACATACAATTCTCACAGAACTTTCCGAACGGCTGTTCTCAGTGGCAATTGGAAATGGACAAGAAAATACAGTACATAGAACACATTGCCAGTGCTCATTTGTATGTTCCACTATGGCCCGCTCACAAAGCAGTCCACACAATAAAGCACGGACCTTCCCTGTGACCAAACCAACAAGTGGCCAGTGCATCTGCTAATTAAAGCCATATTCATAATACTGAAAAAGTTTCTTGGACAAAAGGAAGTTTTGTGTCAATAAACACCAAGGGGAATGACATCATTCTCAATTAAAAGATAATACCTAACCATCACCACATTCTGACATTAGAAAAAAAGAAAAGAAACACATGGAAACCATTATAGTATTTCCAGGATTAATTTGTCTTCCTGCTATAAAGAACTTGTACACACACACACACACACACACACACACTAGAAAGAGAGAGAAAGCCCACAACATTTTAAGACAAGAAAAAGAATGAACTACATTTGATTGATTGAAAGGAAGTTAGGTATGGGCTCAAAAAACTAGAAGACATAAATTAGTATATTCACAAACTTACTAAGATTTTTCACTTCAAATTAGCTTTTTTTTTTTTTTTTTTTTTTTTTCTGTGTCTGGTGTGGGTGTGCATTCGCCTGTTCAGGCTGGAGCTCCGAAGCAGTTTTCTTCCCCAGTTATTCTCCATTTTATTTTCTGAGAAGGAGTCTCTTCTTGGCCCTGGAGCTCACCCTTGGCAGCACTGGCTGGCTACCCTGTGAGCTCCAGGGATCCTCCTGTCTCTGCCTCCGCAGCATAGGCGTGTGTCATCACAGTTGGCTTTCTTTGTATGTGGCATCTAAACTCAGGTTAGATGCCACAAATTCAGCAAGCTCTGTACTGACAGAGCCATCTTCCCTGCTCTTAAAATGGACTTTTTTGCTGGTGCAGGGAATCACAATTAGGACATGGTAGCTCTCCTAGACAACTGCTACACCACTGAGGCATCTCCAGGGTGTGACTTGAGTACTTGAATTAATCATCTTCTCTTATGGTGATGTGGGTCTCGTTCCCATTGTGTACTATGTTTAAGTTTAAACTTTAAACGTTTTTGAACATTTTGTTAAATATCTACATGATAGTTCTTTCATTCTAAAAGGCTTTATGTAAAATCAAATTTTGCCTATTTTTAAAAATAGAAATTTAAAACATATGTGTGTCGCACTGTAGATGTTAGTATTTTCTTTGGAAGTATGGTTCTGTTCATGTACACAAGGCAAATATTTTGCCTATCTGTTCTATCTGTAGGGTTATAAACACAAACTTTGGAAATCAGGCCTGGGTTTAATGCCTATCTTTTCCACTTTGGACTTTGGGCAAATCATCTCACCTTTGGTTTCATTGGGAAGAAGGGAGAGATAGGGCTTTCTCATCCTCAGAACAGATAGGATAGTGCATCATGACGCTGCTGTAGCGACGGGATGAACATAATCAAACATCTATTGAGCGCTGCGGTTTAACAGAGTTCGGTCGGCCCGACAGGTCATGAGGGATGAGCCCGGATGAGTGAACAGTGTCATTATTGAGGGTGAGACACTGAGAGCGGATTTGCTGTGAACGCGTGAGCCTCTTCTTACTCGTACCTTTTCTTCCCCCCCACTCTCTTCAGTGAGATGAAACAGCATAAAGGCCTTCACCACGTGCTGACACCAAGCTTTTAGGGGTGCCAGCTCCAGAACCGTGAGCCTGGTGGATGTCTGTTCAATACGAACACCCACTCTGGTTTTGGAGTCTTTTGTTTAGAACAAGCTCTCAGTATGTAATCACTGCATAGACAAGGGTAGCCTCCAACTCAGAGATTCACCTGCCTCTGCTTCCAGAGTGCTGGGATTAAAGGCCTGTGCCACCACTGCGCAGCCTGGTATTCCTTTATACTGGCAGAAAAAGAAATAATAAGATACATTCAGAATTTTGAAAAATTAAACTTACAATAATATGAATTATTATTGCCCTATGTGTTTTAAAAACCCTAACTACTTACATAGATAATGCATAAATAATATATTTCATTTAAATGATCAGTTGGTTTTTTATCATTGCTACTCAAAGTAGAAAACCTTTTCTCTAAAATGATGCCTAATCTGAAGGCATTAATAATCCTATATCACAATAAAGCCCTGTATTATTTGTAGGTTTTTTGTTGTAGCCTTAAAATAGGTTAAGGGTTTCCAACAGAAGAAGAATAACTTATTTAATGGAGGACAATTGATTAAATGGCTAATAGGACCTGAATGACTTCTTTTCATGAGTTTACTGTTAAGGCAGTCAGGGCCTGCCCTGGTTCTATAGACATGAATCCAATCAGGAGATGACCATAAGCAACAGTTACAAGAGCAATGATGGTTTGGAATGCTACTGTCTGGGCTGCTTGTAGAGTCCTCTTTCTCTACTTCTGTTACAGACTCATCTGCTTAGGTAGGTCAGTCATCATGAGTTTTTGTAGTGTCCCAGTGTATTCACTGATACACTGATTACAGCACCCCACAGCCTCAGATAAAAGAAAACCATTTTGTGGGGAAGAGAGTTAAAGACATGATCTTAACCACGAACCGCTCATGAATACAGACAGAAGAAAAACATGACGTAAAATGGAGTAAACATTGAAAAGGACAAATGAGGGCTTCATTAGCTTTCTGAACAAAAACTCTTACTAAAACATAAAGCAACCCAAGATAGAGCCAGAAAACCCACAGACCTACAGGAAGGGAGACCAAGACCTAGGAATGCCTCCTTGGCACAGAGCAAAGTTAACTTGTTTCTTCCATCTGGAAAATGGGCTCATTGAGTGCTAATTTGGAGTTGAAGGATGCAGATGAGAGGTCCCATAGCTCATCCTCATTCCTTGGACAAATTAACCAGCTTTAAACTCAAAATCTGATATGAAGTGCCTGAAGTTTAATTAAGGGAAAACTGTATTTAAAGCATCTCAGTTCACAAGACCCTCTTTCTAGAGACATGAAAAAACAAAACAAACAAACGAAAACCCAACAACAACTAAAAAGGGGAAATGGTAATAGTTCAGAGCCCTTAAACTGTTCACACAAAGTTTTTAATAAACAGAAATAAGACGTTACTTTAAATTATGCTAACAATTATATAAATTAAAACTATTATAGTTTCCTACTAGGGAAACTACCTTGCTTCTTCTACCCTGAGTATCACGAAAAAAGGTGATCCCTTTCCCCTTTATTCTTTGTTTCACTTAACTATACTATTATGTACAAAATGTGTGTCTGTTGATAGATGGCAGTAACTTATTTACATAAGCCCTGTCAGCATTTTTGTGTTCAAAGAATTATTAGTCCTCTGAGCTGCAACCTGCCTGGTGGACTTTGAAAATAACTATTATTTAAGTTGCTTATCTGTGGGAAATAATAGCTTTTCTTAAACACTGTTCATTTAGTGACTCAGTTATTTATGTTGAATTGTGTCTAATTAATGATTGAACCCATTTCAAAACCGAGGGTTTACCAAGTGTCTAGCTGAAGACAGGCCCTGTTGTTACTTCCTCAGCTGATTCTCTGAATGGCTTGTCTGTCTCAACCAGATGTGTCAGGACTTAAGTAAAACTTACATCGGAAGACTCTCAGAATCTTTAGGCTTTTCAAGATAGAGCAAAACGCTGGTTCTTTTGACATTTCTCACAGTTTATGTTTTCTGACTCTCAGATAGCTTTTCCCCCACTCTCCACATTTTCACAGACGTTGTCAATGGAGTGTCCACTATGGATGTGGAGCTCTGTAAATGACGGGATAGTTCCTTATGCTTCTAGTGAAGCAGAGCTCAGTTCATACCGCCAATGCAACCTAGTCCAGTGTTACTACATTTGCAATCCTATTTCATCATTGTCAGTTTTTAGTACCTATGAACTCTCCTCATTTCTCAGATTATATTTAAAGAGTTGTTTTGATTAACCCATTGATTCCTCTGCACCTATTTTCCTAACATCATGTTTTCCCTGAATTTACTCCATATTCATGTCTACTAAATAATTTAAGCGA